CCTGTAGCTATGGAGGCGCAGCTGCGAGAAAGCAGCGGCAGCCTCTCACCGCCTACCCCAACCATTGCTGAATTACAAGCCTCGGTATGCATGAGCCTGCAAACGCTTAAAAAGCGATGGTGCCGCACTGCACAAGCTTAGGCATGCAGCTTGAGAGCACTCACCATTTCGGAAGCGAAAGGCCTGCTCAAACCATCGCCTAAGAATGCCATCGCTGTCGACGGACTGCAGCATGCGTGGAATTCGGCTGACGAGGGAAGGCTGGTAGTCCACCACAAGCCTGCAGAAAGCACTCCGCTTGACCCGATCGTCGGCGATTCCACGATGGCACTGTCTGCTCAGCGCGGCTTTGTCGAAGATGATCAAATTGAAGCTGTTCGCAGGACTCTCACACAACCTGGCCCCTAGCCCGCACATTCTGGATAGAGGCAGGGTACAGGGACGTATGGCTGCAAAGACTCGGGATTTTCGAAGCGTACGCGCCAGGCCTTGCGCGGTGGATCGGGCTATGGTGCGCGCTCCGTAGGGCGAGGGACGGAGCGAGGGAGGAAGGCTTCAAAAGGTGTGTGAGACTTCTCTGACCTATAGTCGCACTCGTGGATGACAACCTCTAGGAAAGAGATTTCGTGCAGCCCCCACTCAATTGTCAGAGGGTAGAAAACAGCTTGCTCAACCATGCTCTCGAAGAACGTATGGTTTGGGAGGCGAAGCCGCTACCTACCATGAGAATGTCGTCCCTGAGTCTGTAAGAGCTTGCGATGCCTGACTCGGAGAGCCTGCCGTGGACCAGGAGGCTGAGTGTGTACAGCGTGCAATCCACAAGCTCCTCAGAATGCTCTGGCCCCATGCCTGTCTCGGACACGACTTGGTGGATATCGTCCTCGGACGGGTCCCACGGGTCGTCCAAAAACTGTGACTCAAGCAGGAAACGGATCACGCAGTACCTGCCCGAGGGGGTCGCTCGGGTGCCATAGCGACGCCACACAGGAAGCGATTTGATCGATTCATCCGCAGAGGTAGAATTCTTTGACGTCCTCTTTTGCGAGATGCCACCTGCCAGGCGGCGGCGGGTGCTCCTTGAGCCTTTGAATGAATGAGTTCAGCGGAGTCTCGCAATATGTGTGGTGCGACTTCCACCAGCTCGCAAAGGAGAATGGGGACCAAGCGCTAATCCCACCGAACATGTAGTTTGAAGAAGCGTGTACTGGGCAACAGCTGACATTGAATTGTTCCTGTGCGGACTGACCAGACATTGCAACCGGCTGCATTACGAAGCATTCGCGAACAACGCAGTGCGCATCATCGCGCCAGCAGCCGCTGGTTCCCACATTTCATCAACAACCCATCGGCATAGTTCATGGTAGGTCTGCGTCAAAGCTGCTCGAAGGCCATACCCTTTGATAGTGATGTATCTTGCTGAGCTCAAGATCGATGATGAGAGGAAGGGGAGAAGACGACATTCCAACGCTTCCAAAGGTGCGGTATTGGAGAACGTGCGTGTTGAGAAGTGGGCCTGGAACCAGGATTCGCGCACAGCCTGCAAGAACCTCTTGCAGAGCTCGCGCTTCTTCCAGTCCAGCATTTGCCATCCAGGCTTGGTGTTGGCAGCAGCCTGCTATTTGAAGGTCGCGCCTTCGGCGCACGTGGCGTTTTGAACGAGACAGCCTCGGAAGGGAAAATCGTGTGATACCATGCCAATTTCAATCTATTGCTGAAGTTTTGGAGTTGCAGTCTGCATCTTGCCACTGATGGCATCGCCTGGGACTGGAATAGATGTTTTCTGTGCCGCCGCAGCAGTAGCCATCTAACCGGCCAAGGGGCGTCAGTAGCATCGTGCATGCATGGATTTGGTCAGTGGATTGTAGATTTGGACTTCGTGTTCAAAACGTCGCCAGCGCAATCTGGATAGGAGGTCGCCGGAGTCAAGGCCACGAATCAACCGGCCCATCCAGCGAAGGTCCCTATCGGCGCCCATCTTCATTATGATATGCTCCCGCCATTGCCTCTGCTTTTGTAGTTTTTTCCTGTTCCATGCTTGCCCGTGCCTTTGCCCTTGCGTTTGCCTTTGGTGGTCTTCCCAGACTGTTTGCCCTTGAGGTGCTCTTCCCATTGCCGTCCTTGCCCTCGTCCTTGCTCTTCAGAGCACCACCTGCTCCACGGGGGCCACCGTCGGTCGGCTTGGGGGGATGGCGTCGTGATTCCAGTCCCGACCCTGCGGTCGGGGCGGAACCGTTTTTTGCCATGACCGAGTCGCAGAATTGCTGCCCCGTGATGGCGTGGCCATCTGCGGTGCCAGCTTCACCTGCCATGAGCTCGGCGCGAGTAACGTCCAGGAGGCCAGTGGGATCCGCCTGCCGGAGTGCCTCCGTCTCCCTGGAGCCGATGAGTTTCTCTTGAAGCTTCGGGGGGTCCTTCTCGAGCTTGGCCTTCTCATCGTTCTTTCCCTTCTCGGTCTTCTTTTGGAGTTCCTCGTCCTTGGACTCGACCTTTCGGTTTATTG